TTTCTTGGTGTGCGAGATGGTTGTGAAAATTGTCGAGTGACAAGCACTGAATCTGAGGGAGGATGTGACCCGGGACCTCCTCTCAAAAGTTTCGGGAGTTCAGGGTGGACCCGGACCCAAACCACGGGGTCATGCCGGTTTGCTGCGCTGCGCGTCAGCTGTATTTGGGGGCAAAAAAGAAAAAGAAAAGTGCGAACAGGACAACAATTTTGTAGATAAATCGAACTCATCAAAAAACTCAAGATACAAAAACGTCCCAGGGTGGGTGCTGCCATGAGTACGGGTGGCCGCCCCCCGCGCGCCCCGCAATTTCATTGGGCTGATGAATCTAATGCTGAATCAGAGGAGGAATCAGAGGAGGAGGTCGCAAGCAATGATGACAATAGTGGCGATCTAGACGATAATAATGACAACAGCAACGGTGGTGATGCAGAATCAATAAGTTCATCCAAAGAAGTCGAGAATTGTGAAGACATCTTGACCAAAAGTGAAAATGAGTAAGTGAAGTCTCTAGCAAGTGTTTCACATTCAGATTGCTGATCCTGAAGATTACATCTTTAGTCCTCACGTTTCAACTACTGTATCTGGTTCAGAAAATCCTGAAGCGGACACAGGAGCATTCAAGCCTCTCCCACAAAACCTTGTGGATTTATTTCAATTGACTGAAGCACAACCTGAACTAGTAGAATTCAAAAGCAATTTAAAACTCGATCACAACTTACTTGAGACAATTGTCAGATCTGTTTTATTAACTAAATGTGCACTGGATTCACGTCATAAACATCAAGAGTCAGTTTCGGCTCGCAATTCATTCGAATCTGGTACGGCTAGATTACATTCAGATTATGCTCCTCTCTACGAATCTCATAAAGCTCAAGCTATGGAAGACGTAGAAAAAGTTCAACTTGAGCTTAATTGTTCATTGAATTTGATTGATGAACCAGAAGTCAAATCACAAATTCAAGAATTCACTATCAAACATTACCAAATGCTCATGTCATCCGATACAATTAGTTGGGATCCTATGCCAATTCAAAGAAGTGAAACTTCAAATCTATAGATCAAACTTCAATTTTCGTTACTGAGTATTACAATTATCACAAATCTATTGGATCAGTTTAATGTTTGTTTGGTTTTTTTAAGAGACTTGTTTCATGTATATATAATAGAGATAAAACAAAACTATCTTTACACTTTTTTATAAAAAAATATCTCCGCCTTTCTGTCTTCTTCTGCGGAAATATATTAAAATTTAAATTGTGATACCTTTTTTGATATAATTGATTTCTTTTTTTTCATGTGGATTGAGATATTGAGAAATTGGGAGCGGAATAGCCTGAAGGTAAGGTGTCTATCCATTTTTAATTCTCAGTTGATCAATCACAAGTCAAGTTCAAGTTTTGAAAATGATAAGGTTAAGACTCTTCTCTTAGACTCAGACATGATCTTGTTTGAACATTTGTTGGCTGGAATGCAATGATTGACCTGATGTTGAAATAAAGATAAATTGAAATCGACATCAAGCGTCAAGTGTCTCTTCCTATCACAGTGAAAAATACAAGCAGAGAGTGGACAACAGACAAGATAAAACCAGGAGCTCCACCCAAAAGAATAAGGCTTAAGAAGAGGAAAAGTACAAAAAATATTCATGCAAGCTAACTATTCAAAGGTCCAGAACACCCTTCAAGGATATGGCCTTCGTCATCAAGTACACGATTCACAGCATGGAAAGTTTTCTTCCATATGTATAACGCTTCTTCATATTTCCATCCGTTCCCCCAGGGGGCATCGGGCAAGACATTTAATTCACCCACACCCAACCACATGATTATTCGAATCACTTTTTCTTTGCATCCACACAGCGGGGTTGTTGGGGTGAGATCACCTACTTATACCAAGATATCCTTGATCAATATCGTATCTATTGATCAGAAAAACTAATTGACTCACCGCGGTAATCTTTCCTGAACACAAGACGATATCCAGCTTGAGGCGCCTTTTCCACTGATTTACCTTCTTTGGCGAGGGAATCCTCCTTGTTGTTGTGATTCAGCTTTCCACGTTTCAAGTAGGTTTGAATAGCTTCTATAGCATCTACTTCAAAAGCATCGTCTGCATTGCGTTTTTTATCATTCGTAGTTCGCACCTTGATACGCTTGGAAGAGCGTACCCCTTCAGATTTTGTGGTACGTCGTTTGGTACGTCGTTTGTTGTTAGCAATCAACACTGAGACTGCTACAGGAAGTTTTGAGATCAGTGATTCATGACAATATGCATCATTGTCAAAGTTCACTTGCTCACCAATTTCCTCTGGGTCAGTAGGAATTTTGAGAATATCAGTTTGTTCGGTATCAGAAGAGTGAACATCGATATCCACTACTTGATAATCAGGTTTGCTTGTTTGATCCTCAACCGATGTATCTGACATGCATTTGTGATTCAAGTTAAAGTGTTTCAGCAGACTCAAACTACGATGGCTAATAAGATAAAACAAGTAGGGTAACAAAGAATCTCACCATCATGATCATCGCTACCTAAGCCCGTAGAGTTTCTGTCAGTAGCTTTCGCAACTTGTAAAGGATGAAAGACATGAGTGAGTGAAAACCAACAGGAAAACTCTTTCTCAAGGAAGAAAACTCACCATTCACATCTGTCGTAGATTCCCAATTGACAGTGATTAGGTTACCAAGTAGAGTGAATTTTTCAGACACAGTTCGGTTCAGGTCTTTTATGGTGAACGTCCGATTGGTGGTCCAGTTTTGGAGCGCAGTGAGTTTTTGAGATACAATTTGGTTGATGCCGTTCATAGTAAATAATTCAGATGAGTCAGGTTTATAGAGCGGAGGATGTATGTTTTATTGAAAGCTAAAATTATGAGATTTTCGAAAGATGATTAATTGTTTGATGATTGTAATGGATGATAATTCTATTTATACCATAGCCCTGACTATTAGTTGCCTTTCAAGCACTCGTCTCTTACTGAGGATTCTTGATATTGCATGCTTACAATACATACGCTGAGTCTCTTGATAATCATCAAGGGGAGTTTTTGTGTTTGAACTTTGAACCTTCTATCTCAGCAGCATCTCCTGAAGCATTCCTGAAACATCTCGACTTCACCTTTCAAAATTTGTTGAGCTCAATGCAGGCTGTATCTTGTTTGTTCTTCAAGACAGCCCCCAAATCTTTTCACTTAACTTTCCGGCGAGTATGCAATACACCGACTGAACTCCCATTCACCTGAGATAGTGGCTATGGTCCCATTGTGACCAAGTTTCCAAAGTCGTCTGTTCAGCCGAGCAAACGTTAAACAAACCCAGGACTCATCTCAACAAAGAAGTTTCCCTTTTCTTCAGCATGTCATATCAATTTGGTTATACTCAGTATGAGATCAAAGCTGCACCTAGACCTTTGATGTGAGCCAGTCACAAAAGGTTTGAAAACTCACTTCACCAGTAAACCGCTTAGCTGGGTAAACAAAAGCCCAGCTTTTGGTTGATCAGAGTCGTGCTCCAACCTCAACAGGTTATGTACCAACTTGGGTAGGTCATGAATCACCCCGTAAATTCCTGTCTAACGTGTCTGTCCATCTACATATTGTTAAATAATACAAGAAGTGTGGCTACGGTGATGAAATTCATCTGGATGACTTGTTTTGTCAGAGTCAAACCCCTCGAACCCCACCCCCCAAACAAGAAGAAAGAGAAGAGAAAGCTCGCGAATTATGATCTCTAGTGATAATGCTTAGACAGATAATGTACATTTGAAAGTAATAAAATTAAGTTGATGTTGGTTCATTGAAATCTCCCAATGTTAATTCCATTGGATAATCAAATTCTTTGAAAGCTGAGATAATCTCATTTGGACTGGGTGTTGGAAGTGAGATTGTTTGGTTGTTGAAAAGTTGATGAGGTGTTGAAATGTGTTGTGTTTTTTTGTTGACGAATGTTGTTTTGGTACCGACTTCGGGACAGGTATATTGGCAAAAATTTGATTGGTCAAGCTGGAACGCAAGATATTTCTTCATTTAAATACAAGTGCATACGATCTAGATATATGTATCTCATCATTTCATCCTAGTAGGTTGTGGAACTTAAGTAGCAAGTCTGTAGTATGCTAGGAGTGAGGGCCTAAAGAAAATAATACCGAGTTACCGAGTCAAGTGAATCAAATATATACAAGATGAAAGTGTGGAACAACAGGCAATGGATACAAAAGATTGGGACTGGACAATGAATTTAAAGAAGACCTTACCGAGTCAAGTGAAGCGTTATATACAAGGTGAAAATATAGTAAACAAAGTGGAACAACAAGCGATGGCTACAAGGGACACCGGAAAAAGGCAGATGAAAAAGTCAGGTGGCCAACGGACAATGAATGAAATGTGATTTGCCTTCTCGGACCAAGGTAAGGTGGTGGAAAATCTCATCCAAAAATGGATCTACCTTGTTAATGCACATCTGACAGGCTGCTTCATATACATGAACAACCAATCATCGTGATAAAACATAATTGCATATGTCAGCAAGGGGTGATGACTATCAGAACATGATGAAACAGTCGACTGACCATCAGGACCAGAAATTCTGGTGGGAGAATCACCTGTAATTGATCCGGTGAAGACCGATACACAAGCCTTCCTGCGCTTATAGGGGGGGGCTGTAACAACATTATATTGAGTTCACAATGAATATAGTGGTAAGGAATTTATTTGTGCTTACCCTCGTCAGACTTAGTTGGATGCTTGACTGAATTGGCGATGATCTTGCGTGTTGCAAACCTGTTGGACCGTTTGAATTGAATGTCTCTAGCTGATAGATCAAGTTCATAGTCAGTCTTTGTAAAAAATGAATGCCAGGTTTTCGAACCCACCATTATCATCGTTGATTTCCAGGGAAACTTCTTCTCTACCTTGTTTTTTATTAGTGATGGCACTATTGGTGTGCCAGTGAGCTGGAGGAATATTGCCAAAAGCATAAGAGGTATGACCGTAGTAGTGAGGTGAATTAGTTAAAACCAACTAATTCACGTATATAGATTTTTCAAACCCACCATCATTATTGTCGATATCCATGGGAACTTCAGCTGTAGCTTGGTTTTCATTAGTGGTGGGACTATCGGTGTGCCGGTGAGCTGTAAGAAAGGTTTTCAAAAGCGTAAAAGGTATGACCGGAACAGTGATTTGAAACGGCAAATTCAAATCAACTCCAGACCAGAGTAAAAAGACAATTCGAAGAATTTGAGAGAAGGATCAGGAAAGCAAGTATTGGAACCTACAGATCACATCAGCAGCATTAAGTAACAGGTCGATCCCACTAGAATCAGAAGTGGGGATAATTTCCTCCGCCGACACCCAAGAAGAGTTAATCAATATCATAGTCCTTCGTAGCACGGATTGATCTAATAATGGCTCGGTGACAGTGTATTCTGGAGATTTGCTCCCGATCGAGGACACGACATCATCAGAGCCACCGTCGCTTGAAGTGCTGGAAGATTTGTGAACGCTGCCATTGCGATTATGAGGTGATTGTGATAGTTTTGATGTGACTGCAAAACAAAAAGCACACCAATCAACAAGACACCCAAGAAGTACTTGCAAGAAGTAGAGAAAATTTTCAAACATACGTAGAAAACAAGGTGAGTCAACTAAAGCATCTGGCGAGTCGACTAAAGCATCTTTGTCATTGGAACCCAGAATATTGAACTCAGGATCTGTGGTCGAGTTAGGAGCCAGAAAAGGGTCGCCTGGCGTGGAGTCGGGTGAAGGTAACCGATCATCATGTGGAAATTCACTTGACAAGCTCATGCAGTGAGAAACACTAGAAATTGCGCTTTGAGTGACTTCTGCCACTGGTGTAAGAAAAGGATCTCCCAAAGTCTGAGTGGACTTGGAATGGAATGAAGGCGTTTGAAAGGTAAAATTAGCTTGTTTTACGACTGCTTGCTCAGTAGTTCCAGCTGCAGAGGTATCAGATGAACCTTTTGATACAAAAAACCATGGAGTCAGTTCCCGAAAGATGAGCTTGTCCAAGAGCTGTAATGAGAAAGCTCACCGAACAAGTTTCTCGCCTTTGTAATGCGGTTCTTCAGAAATCTAATCGTGCTCTTGACCACCTTCATGACACGCGCAGCAGTATTAAAACAGTGAGAGGCGATGAAAGATATTTGATTGAATCAAAGCTGGTCGATTCAGAAAGGAAGTCAAGGATGTAACGACCAGAAGGGGTTGTGTTGGTATATCGCAATGGAAAGTGCGTTCTAGAGATGGAGAAGATAGACGCGAAGATTTTGGGCATACCAACATATAAAGATTTGTAAAGTTCTTGACCGTAGCGGTCAAATGACAAGTGGTATAGCTTTTTGCCTTTGTTCACATTCATCTCATACCAACATCTCTACCTTTTCCTTGTCTCAAACATCAGAGGAAACCCTCCGCGGTGAGCATATATCTAAAAGGGAGTCATCATTTGACATCATGAGACTGATTCTCGGCTAGAGATGTTATTTGGTCACCAAACAACGTTTATGCCCGAAACTTGCCGAACTTCTCTACAGCACCACAAAAAAAAGCAGAAAGGCCGGTCCATCATACGGCACAGAATATTAGGAAGAAAGAAAGGATCAGAACCGATGGGGCCCAATCCACATTATCAGAACCAATAGGTCTCTTACTAAAGATAACGGAATATACAAAAAAAAAATTGTTTGGTGACTAAACAACTTTATGGAGAGGCCAAAACTCGCCGAACGCTTCTACAGCACACCAAAAAGAAAGCAGAAAGACCCACCCATAACAACGTTTATGGAGAGGCCAAAACTTGCCGAACACTTCTACAGCCCACCAAAAAGAAAGCAGAAAGGCCCATCCATAGATCAATCTACACTACCAGCATTCTCATCTTACTCTCTCTATGATAAAGCACAAAGGCTGAATCACGACATTAGGGGTTGCCTACTAGCCCTTTCGAAATACGACCAATTATAGAATCCAGGATGGCCTACGTGATCAATGGAGTGATACATAAGCTTCCAGACTTCCTTACTTGCTTTATCTGTCCACTGCTCTAAACCAACTCTGGTGTAGCTTTTTGACGTTCCCTAAGCCGTCAAGCCTGTGAGTGTCTTACAAACGATAATCTCTTTTTTTGGCGGGTTTGTGTCCTGCTCTAAACCACTTCTTTTTACCCAGATCCATTTGATTATTTTCTTCTATATTTGACGGACCTATCCTAGCCGTATTTCTTGCGAAGCGTTCAATCTATCACGTTTGTGAGCATCTTATCCATTATTACTGAAGTCCGAGATGATGACACTGACTTCTGTTTTTGCTATCCTTTCTATGTTGGTCTGGTGTTTCAACGTTCAGTCTATCAAGCTTGTGAGTACCTTATCCACTTCATTATCTTTGCTAAAATCTCTGATCATCTCTGGCTTCTGTTCCCGCTAGTGTATCTTCTGTTCCTCAGAACGACCCAGAAACGTTACTGTTCTACAACCCCTCCATACACCACTTAGAGTAGTAAGTTGTTTTGGTTTCATGTTGGCTTATCACTCCATTTTAGGTCTTCTGATTGCTCGTAAACATTTAGCAATGGCCATCAGGATCTGCCAAACTTTCAACGTCATTGGGGATGTCTATGTAGGAATAAGAAGCACACGCATCCAAGACCAACGCCGCCGAAGTGTGACACCTGCGTCAAATCACGATTGAAATATGAATGCTTCACCATCCAGCCGATCTGACACACCCATGAATGATGATGATGATCAGGATGTACTCGCTTTGCCACAAAGCCGCGCGGTCACACCCATGAGCGGTTATGAAGCTCCTCCCTCACCTGTTGAACTAGCTGCCCCGCCAATTGATCACGACGCAAATATAATTAACCCCCCAGTTGATCACAATGTGCGCATACCTCATTCACCACGCCGCCGTTCACCACGTCTTTCTGTACGCCCTTTACCGCGCCGTTCACCACGCCGTTCACCACGTCTCGCTGCAAGACTTTCACCACGTCCTGGCACACCCCTAGTCAATCACAATCGAAACAGAAGACATCGCCATCAACGTGTTTGGCCCTATTTGATCAAGCGCAATTTGAGGATGATCTCTCCCGACGAAAATCCACGGTTTTGGCAGAAGGCGTTTACTTTAAGAGACGATTTACTTCAGTTTATGATGCCTGATTGCAATCTCTGGGACTTTTTGACCACCCGAAAGGTCCTTCGCCAGCTTATTGCACACTTTGATCCTGCCTACTACCTCCGCCGCCGAATTAATAAGGGTGAGCTCATCGAAATCTATCGGGAAATTGTCAGCAGTGAGTTTGGAGTGATATATGGCTGAGGTAAGTAATATGTTTTGCACTTGTTTTGGACTTTTTTATGAAAATGAGCACTAACGTAATGTTTTGCTATGTTAAAGGGTCCGTCTTTGGGTTATCTGTCTTGATCATACGTCTCAAAAGTTACAAATGTCTACTACAGATTTATCTTACAATCTTGTGTTATGCTTGAATCTGATGCTTTCTTTCTGTGTACATAATTTTATTCTTATGATTTTTGGTGAACATATTTTCTCTCTTGTTGCTATCTTCTGGTTGAAATCGTGTACATATTTTCATTCTTATGCTTCTGGGTGTACATATTTTCTGTCTGTGTTTCAGTCGAGTGGTGAGAATACTTGGAATGGAAGATGTGTCTCAAGGGGGAGGTCATATTCAAAAAGCTTTTCATAGTTCCACGAATAATTGAAAGAAGCTTTGGAAAGCACTATTTAAGAAAATGATGAACTTTAACTCAACATCCTTCGAGGTCTCTTACTATATAAAGAACCAAAGCGGTATGATAGGAAATAAGTGGACTATATAAACGTATCCCCCAATTTCATGGTAGGGTGAGATTCATTGCAGCTCAAAAGTCCAGTTTTCAAAAGATGTGGTAGCTAATTCTGGATTATGGGATCTCACAACACAAAGTAAAAAGTCTGTTCTTTCATGTAGTTCAGAAGTACATGTCCATAATTCTTCGTCTGATATTCCTTCATCTCAATACCACAAACACATGTTCTGGCTTCTGTCCTTGAAGGTCCCTGGTCTTGAACAAACATGGGGAAATTCAGTTGTTGAGAATAAAAATAAAAGGAGTTACGAGCTGTTGAGAATAAAAATAAAAGGAGCTACAAGCTCACCACTTAAACATCAATGTAGCCATCTAAGTTGAGCGCATTAATGGGAAAGATATCGTAATGTACTCCTCGGCGAAGATTGGGCTCCTCCTCATACAAAATGAAAGCCTTGTAGAGAGACAATAGCATTGGTTGACTTGTTGCTACTTTTATCGGTATCCACAGTTGAGGACAATGACAGTGTAAAGCTTGACGGATAGTGTCACAATCTTTCTTTGACATTTCTTCCAACAAGCATATGCGTGGCCGACTAAGGTTTCCTGGTCTTGTTGGAGTATTCGGTTTGTTGTCAGATTGCTTTTTCACATTCTGTTGAAGTTTGACAAGCTGCTTTTTGTTGAATCCACGGGACATCATCTTGTCTACACTTTTCATGAGTCCTTCACGCATCCCATTGAACTTGAAGATTGGCTTTGATGAAGCAGACAGAGTTTCCATATCGTCAATTCGAGAGGTCAAGGGAAGTTTTCTATGTCATGAGTTTAAGTCAGAATATGTATAGGGAAGAAGGATTGCATATTTACTGCGTATAGTGATGAAATTTTCCAGCTTACTGATAATAATCTACTAATGCTTGAACAAACCCAACGTCCGCCACAATGCGCTCGAAGATTTCCTGGCAAGATTTCAATTTTTCTTTTCCTCTTTCAAGACAAAGCTGGAGTCCTTGGCGGTGGCTTGGTGATAATTCAGATTCCGATAACAGAAAGCCAATTCCTTCGATATCGTGGTGTGAGCTTTGAACAAATCCAACAGCTTCGTGGAGGCCCTCTAAAGTGTCTTGATAAGCGGAATCCAGAGTAGAAAGTTCGATCTTGTTGAGATATTTGTACGTCTTGACAAATCCCGTAAGGTTGTGCGCTGCGATACGATGTTGACCATTTCGAAGGTAGCATAGAATAAGGTAGTTGAATTCGGAGATGCGATGAGCGTTGATTTCAATCCCCGGTGTTATGAGCATCTCAAACTCGTAGGTCCCAAAGGCTGGTATGTTGATTGATGCTTGGAAGTAGTCTTGATCAGGCTTAAGGGCGGTTGGAATGATTAAAGTAGAAAGTTGGGGTGCTACGATCTCCAGAAATATCTTTTTCAGAAGTACATGATCATCTCGCGCCTCGTCACTGAATTTGACATAAGGATACAAAAGACAAATTATCTCCAAGACCTGAGAGGTATAAGCTTGACTTAGAAAGCGCTTGCAATCGATCTTTTGACTGTCATCATCATCCTTCACAACAAATTTGAGAATGGAAGTAGGTAGAAAGACGTTGGTACGGAATGTAGAAGACATAGTTCAGGGGATAAAGGATATAGAGTCTTGAACTTGAGAAAGACAAAATGATCTCATCTAGAATCAGTGGAATTTTCTTTGTGCTATATATGAACAACACAAATCATTAAATCATTGGTCCACGTCGTTGGAAGAGATAAACACTGGACAATGCCTCGGGTAAGGGGACTCAATCTCCACCTCCGATTGTAAACAAGATCTGGCTTTGGTTTTTCATCTGTCAGAGAAGTGGGGTCAGATCAGGTCGATCATCAGATGACCTTCCACCCGCACTCATTAACACTTCCCAAATCTTTGATTTTGAGAATATTCATTGCAATTGAAAAATCAATTGGAAGCCATTAATCTCCTTAAATATACATGGAGGGCGAGTCATCATGCCTGTGAATGACACAGTTACAATTGGTGGAGAAGTAATGGATACCTGCAATTGAGCTGCATATACAAATGAGTGTCTCAGATTGAAGTTTTGTATCATGGAGATTAGAAGTGTCCTCTCTTACCCCGAAAGAAATCCAATTGAAGAGAAGAAAAGAACTTTCTCAAAGAATCTGATGGATTATTTCAGATTACATCCAGCGCAATGAACCATTGAGCTCTTTTCACAGGGACAAATCGTAAAGACTCTCATTATGATGATATGATTTTGGTACTCAGATGTATTTATATATTCAACGAATCAAATGTTAAGATAAGAAGCTGCCCGCTGGAAAAAAATTAGCGAAATATGGGGGAAGGCTACAAACAAACAAATCTTTGAGAGGGAACTGTAAGTGGCTATTCACTGCCGTCAACTGAACCTGGCACTTTTTACACGGATCCTACCGTGTATCCGGCTACCGACCCGCGCATCGGGTTTATTCCTAGCCTGCAAGAACATACAGATCATGCTCTTGACAGCCTGAGTAGGCAAATTCTTGATTTACTCTTTCCGACCAACCAAACTTCAATCAGAACGGAAAATCATTCAATCCTTCCCCATTGTGTTTTACTTTTGACCTCCATCTTGATTGGAAGATACGATATTTTAAAACTGAGTAAGTCAGGTGTTTTTGGAAACCTTGCGATTGATCCTATCAATAGTGCTGATTATTAATTGTTTCTATTCAGGCTTGACTATTGAAGCTGTGTTAGCCAGGCAAAGGATCAAATGGATCAAGACATGACGAGCGGTTAAGATGTACAAATGCTTTGTTGGTCTCCCATCAGAAGATGTTTGACGGGGCTATTCTTGATGTCGGATTTGTTCAAGCATTGGGCAAATATCATAAGTAAGTTTTGATATATCTCTATCGAGAAATATATAGTCACTTTAATTAATTCTGTTGATAAATTGATCAGGGAAATCCTTGCCAAACATACCGCTCGTGTTTTGAATTAGTTTCTTTGAAGATCTATATACATCAAATTATGTGATTATTTGAAGGCTGCATCAAGATATCCAATTTAAATACCACTTGTGTTGTACTGATGTTGATCCGACTTTACTTCTTTTTGATTGATCCGCTGTTGTCAAACTGGAGTATGAGAAGAAATGCAGTGCCAAGTGACTCAAGTCTTGAAGATCACTCTTGGAAACTTCTGTGTACAGTCATGATGAGACAGATATATCAATTCCTGCTTTTCACATTTCTGATTTCTTAGTATTCAAAGACCACCATTCACGGTTTTTGGTTTGGTCTTGATCAGTTGTTTCCCGGAGTATGTTCAATGTTGGAGTTCAACATTTCATGAAATGTTGAACTCCAATGCAGCTTATGCCTCTGATCATCAAGTATTCACGCCTGGAAGTTCAACATTTCAGGAAATGCTGAACTTGCTACGTATTTTAATGGTTTGCAATCATCCTCTGTCTCTTCTGAGCTTTGGTGCCTTGGTCTGTCTTATTTCATTTTTTCTTCTCATCTGTCGTTCTTTCACATTATCTTTGATTGCTCCTTGTTTTTTGTGGTTTGAATGTGTTCAACAGTTCGACATTTGATGAAATGTCGAACTCCAATCCAGCTTGTGCATGCAACCAACAAAGTTCAATATGTTGATACTCTGATCACATCGGATACCTACGTGTCTATCCAGGGCTAAGCCATAATCATCCCTTAGGGGCCTCAATTAAATCATCATGGTTCCGCGCTATTGTCTACCATCATCACAAAAACCTGCCGGTTTATCCAGAGCTGAGGATCCTCAGGCGGTTTCTCTGTTTAGGTACGCTCTTTTCAAAACTCACCCTCGTTTTCTACCTTCACTCTGACCTCTGGAGATTTATCGTTGTCTCACTTTTCAATCTATATCCACCTCAAATCCTTATTTCTGGCTCTTTTCTCATCTCATCTTCATAATGACTCCGAGCGACAACGACCAAAATACCTTTTCAAAGAAGCAGGACAATGCTTGTGTCGAAGCCCCAATGGATGCCTCAATCGGAAACGATTTACGAAAATTTATGAGCGGTAAGTCTTCCTTGAAGGCGGCTCTGAAGGCGTGTCTTCATCAGATTGTACTCATGATAGTCTGGAACCTCTTGCGTCGCCAGGTAGTTCCGATTCGCAGCTATTCGTCCCAAAGGATTGGCCTTCAGCTACCACCCAAGCCTACCCCAACTCCAAGCGACCGATCCGGAATGTTCCAGAACACGAATACTCTGTCAAACTCGTCCGCCAATTCAATCTGGTCAACATAATGATACACAACGCACCTATGTCGGCTCCCCTTATGAGAGCGTGGCAGGCAGTGGCCTGCGCAATTGCAAAAGATGGCAACGGTACGTCCACATTTCCTCTTGCCTCACCTTGAACTGAAAGTCCTGATAACGACTCTGATCCTTTCCAGACCTAGCTATGAAGACATTCACAAACGAGTCGGGTGCATTCACTTGGGTTGAAACTTCAGATGACGACTCAGCTTCTGCGGACGAGGAGACGGAATTGAAGCCCTCGACTCATCGCGCCATATCCCCAACGCCCACCTCGAGTAGTGCTTCTCCGCGTGATGATACACCCACGACGACTCAGAAGAATCAAGGTCTCCCACAAATTACCAAGAACACCAAGCCCGTCAAGCGAGACTCACACCGCTTCGCTATGATGAACAAGAAGTCAACTGAAGACACAGTAGCCTCAGCAAACCTAGCGGCCATCAAGAAATCAAACGACCCATCACTCAATAAACGTACGATATCCCAGATGACTGAACCTGAAGCCAACACCCAGGATTCATCAAAAAAAAGCCGACCCTCTTCGCCGGCTACCTCCATCTTCCGCGACGATTCTCCTACACCACCTGCCCCTGTCTGGGGCAAACATCGAGAAGTCGACAAACTGATCTCTTCCATCACAGTTCTGGCTACTTACCCATCGACATTACCAGTAGCTACATGGAACAATTGTCTCTTTGTGGCTCTCCTCCATAGACCGGCCTTCGATCTATTCCGTCACGACCCAGCCGATCAAGCCTTTTATGCGAGAAGGTTCCTCGACAATGCCATACCTGACGACAAGATCGAGGAACTCTCGAGCTTGGTGCATGTGGGCTCGACTACATCCTCGAATACATCCAGAACTTCCGTGATCAAGCAGTCTGGACTGTTCAATGTGACAGATTACTCATTCCCAAGCTCCGCCGTATCGAGGATCATCTTACTGCTTCAATCAGGGTGCCTTGGATCATCCCACCACCCAGCCCTTCTGAAATGTCGACCCCTTCCCGATCATCACCCGCTCCGGCTAGGACCAATCCGTCTTCTGATTTGCCGGCTGTTCCACTTATCTCAGACTCAAGTCCTTCGGATGTCGCATTACCAAAAGAAATCAACAATGCACTTGGTGAGATCAGTACGGAAGACACAGCCAACACCGCGCGTTCATCCGAAAAAAGCCAACCCACCTCCATCTTACGCGATGATCCTCCTCCGCCACCACTTCCTGAGATCAGTACGGAAGACGCAGTCAACACTGCGGGTTCATCCGAAACAAGCCGACCCACCTCCATCCTACGCGATGATTCTCCTCCGCCACCTGCCCCTGTCTATGGCAAAGATCCTGAAGTTGAGAATCTGATCTCTACCATCACAATCTTGGCTACTTACCAATCGGCAATACCAATCGCAATGTGGAACCATCCACTCACTATAGCTTTCCTCGAGCGACCGGCCTTGGATACATCCCCTGACGACCCAGAACACCAAGCTTACAATTTGAAAAAATTCCTGGAAACAGTCTTACCTGACGACAAGATCGAGGAACTCCTCGAGCTTGGTGAATATGGGCTCGACTCGATCCTTGAATACATCAAGCACTTCCGTGATCAAGATATCTGGACTGTCAGTGGTGACAGGTTACTCATTCCGACACTCCATCGTATCCAGGAATACCTAATCGCTTCAATCAGGTTGCCCTGGCTACAACCACCACCCAGCGCTTCTAAATCGCCAGACTGTTCCCAATCACCACCCGCTCCGACTACGACCAACACGTCTTCTGATTTACCGGCTGCTTCGGTTTCATCAGCCTCAAGTACTCCACACCTCGCGTTACCAAAAGGAATTCAAAATGTACTTGATAAAATCACTCATCTCGAGTCTCTGGAATCTTCGATCCGCGTGGGTCAACCCAATGACGAGTTTGCTGAATTTTTTGGTCGGCCTTACCTTCTACCCCCACTCGACCTTATTGAAGACGAGGGCCTCTGGCAGGAGCTTGACGGCCAGTTGACCAACGTGATAGGAAGCCAAGTGATCGAAGATAAGCTTCGTAAAGGCGAGTTTGGCGCCAGTGGACTTCTTCCGAAATGGATCCAGAGCGCCCGAGCTCACACGGCATACTGGTCCGACTCACTGGATGGTCTAATCATCATGAGAGCCGAGCAGATCTGCTCAACTTTTGAAAAGTTTTTAATCAATCCAGGTAACAATGCCCCCGCTGCTCTCAACAAGACCTCCAACTGTCAAATGGTAACTTCGGATTCGACAATGACCCCACTACCTGCGTCTTCCACCACCCAAAAATCTCCTGCTCGACCATCAACATCTCGACCGTCCGTCTTTCCGGAATTGAACAGGTCTGTCCTGCCAACAAATGACAATCCGACTTCAACCTCTCTAGATAATCCTACACCACCGCGAATCAGAAAGATAATCGTCCGCGGGCCACGGTGTCCAACGCCCCCTGTATTCCCATTAAACTCTGACGTAGTACAGACCACCTTACAGACCCCCGAGAATGACCAAACCGGCAGCATTATCCCATCGCAGTTGACTCAAAATACAAACACATCATCTTCCAACAATCTCCCTCAGCAAAAGGACGGCCTCTGGATTGATCCTGACAACCTCAAGATTGACATCCAATGCTCCTCGATCCGATCCAAAAAAGAAACAACAGAAGACTGTGTGCTACTTTATGAAGCATGTTCACGCATGTTACGTGCTCGTATCTCTGCTAGCATGACGACGTATGACCCCCTCGAGAGAACTCGAGGAAATGAAATTCTATATTTCAGCAAGGACTTTAAGCTAAGTCAATGGGTAGCTCGAGACCAAAGTAAGTTTCCTCTTGATGAACCCGAAATTCATTTTACCACTCGCTTATCCTACATCAACTATGCTTTGCTACCTCCCAGCCAAAGATTTCTTCATTGCAGGATGCGAATCACCATGGGGCAAAGACCGTGTATTCAACTGGAACTACATCGACCTTCAATCCGAGAAATCTCCAAGCAGCGATGAACTAGAGAAGAGACTTTGCGACTCATTCAGACTCATGCGAAACCCGACCAAACATCGCCTCGAGATGGCTGGTAAATTTGTGTTAGCGGCAATCAGTTTAGTGGGCTCAGAAGCCGGACCCCTCCCCCCCCTTCACGATTTCACTGAGTGCAATCTACCTTTCCTCGAGGTCAAGGATTCTTTTCAATGTGCCGTGCACTATCAAAACCTTCAATCCAAGGCTCAACACAAGGCATCGCACAATCAAACTATCGAGATGACCTGTATCGAACAGCTTACCAAATTAGTGGACTCGGTTTACGGTTGTATTGAAGCGCTTGCAGTCATCCGAGCCCACCACCATCACCAAACACAAATTCAGAAATTTCGTAACTCACAGAGCGACATTGATGCAAGCTTCCATAAAGTGGCTTCAACGGTGGCACTCAGATCCCAAGCCTTAACACCCCTTGTTGCTTTCCTTTCACTTGGTTTCAAGGGGCTCCTCACTTACCGCCGCGACACCAGGAGATCAAATAAAACCGAACTCATTCAACTTTGCCTTGTCACCGGTCGAATGTGCAATGTTGAATTTTCTGACGAGCCCGTTTGGAAACGCGCAAGTGATTACGTTTTGAAATGCATATCAAAGGCTCTCTTCCCCAAAGGCAATGGAGAAGGAGTCCCTTCGGAGTGGGAACATGTGACTTGCAGGAAATATGATCTTGCCCTGGCTATGTACCTAGATGTATCCGAGCGCTGTCGCAATTCGCCTGTGTCTGACCCAAAATTCCCGCTCTACAAACTGCCCGTGTATGACGATTTGACGCCCGAGGAGTCAGAAACTTGTTATTAGTTGATGATCATGACTTCACTGTGTTGTAATTTTTCCTTCAAATACGTTGTTTGTAAACACTGATAAGACAATGATCCAGGGAAAATTACATACCCCATATCAAGGCAGCCTAGCCCCCGTGTCTCATGTGCCCTACCTCTGTATGAAAAGCCTCACCGTGCTCTTGGTCATAATACATTTGTGATGCCATAATTAAGCACTTTTCTGGCGTTGACCATTGAACTGAGTTCAACATTTCATGAAATGTTGAACTGATGATCAATGTTGAAATGAGTTCAACATTTCATGAAATGTTGAACTGATGATCAATGTTGAAATGAATGTTGAACTGAGCTCAACATTTCATGAAATGTTGAACTCACATTTCATGTGTGGCTTCCTAATTATCTCGTATGCTCACATTTTGATTGCTCATCGATTTTTGTGCTTTGAAATTGTAGTACATTGTGATCTGAATCACAATCTTTTCTCACCTTTTTGACTTGGATCTTTTTTGATTATAATTAGGAGTTCAACATTTCACGAAATGTTGAACTTACTATTTAATATTTCAACTAAAAGTTGAGCTCATCAATACACGAGATCTGAGGGTTGGTGCACATGATCATTCACTTGATCAATCTTTGATGCAACCCTCCAATTTGGAGATCACAACAGTGACCAGCCATTCCCGAGGCCGGGTATAACCAGTTCCAATTAGATACAACTCATAATTTAATTAGAAGTTGACCGAGCTCACAACCAGATCAGGTGAAAAAATGAAAAAGGTACGGCAGGATGTTGCTGCAAATCAACAAAAGGGCGATTTGTTGCAACCAAGATTATAATCAACATGCTTTGGTTAATTTAAGCATTATAATCAGACAAAGGCAAGTTGTGTCTGCCACTGCTCGACACTATTTGCCGCTCAAAAGGCGTTATAGAATATTTACGTAATTCATGAGTATCTCCCCACTCTCTTTCCACAAATTCAAACTAATGTCAAGACTCAATCAAAAATAAGTATTTGGATACAAATGAAAAAATAGTTATGTCATCAATGACTTTTTCAAAAAAGATTTTTAGCAATTTAAAAACAAAAGCAAAAAGAAAGGTTCTGTAGTGGTTAAAGATAAAATAAGCTGATTTCATCATTCATGAGGTTCATGAATGTAGGAAAAGTTTTCTACTCATAGTGAGAAATTGAAAAAAAGCCTTCATTGCTATCCTGTGAAACCAAAAAAAACAATTAGTATGGCAAACTTCTCAGAATAATTATTGCCTCCTTTTTGTGAGAGAGAATCTTACCCTAGAAATATTTTCAGCAAGAATTCACATCTCCAAGACAATCACTAGATTGATCTCAATGTGTTCCTCTTATTTTGGAATCAGTAGTTGGGCTCAGCTGCTAATATCAATTTGTTGCAGCTAGTTCTAAGTGTAATTTTTCCAGCTTTATAAGCTTGAGATTTTGAGAGTTTTTTGTTTGAGTTCTATAATGGTTTAGGAGAAGATCAATATGGACAGGCCTTCAAGATATAGATCATCCCACTCGTCACATGGGTATAAATCAAATGAAAACACTTGTACTGGTATGACACTCAACTATCTCTAAAAAGAAGAAACATTATATACAATATATACATGATGAGAGGCCCAAATAAAACTATTGATCGCATACAGTTTGGAAACCAACAAACTATTTCATCTCAGCAATCGAAGTGTTCTTGACAGAAGCGATTCAAGGCTTTCAATGCGAGAGTCTTTATTGGCGAGGAGATATCTTTCAGTGAAAGGAATACTTGATTCCAATCGCCTTTGGTAGCATTGTGCTGGCAAGCTGGGAGCAACAGGAGCAAGTGGATCCACCCGTCTTGAAGGTTTTCGTCGAGCGTCCAATCGCTGAGCCGCCCATCTTGGACCTTCGTTTTCCCGTACATCCTTGATTGACAATTCATCAACTGCATGAAGCCATTCTACATAAATGTCTTCCCGCCAAAGGGATCCCACAGCAAACAAATTACCCCCGTCATCCTCAGTATCTGAACAGCAATCTACACTGGGAATGTATTTTAGTGCATCAGGCCCTAGATAAGTTTTAATTGTCTTCTTGCGGTATTCAAAGAGCTAAACACAAAGTGCAGGTATTATAAGACTGGCGCTTCAATGATTTAAAACCAAACCAATGAGAGGCCAAACATGTACGTACACTTTTTCTTCGCGAATTCTTCAGTTTCTTCACGTAAAAATCGGGGTTACGCATTCTCTTTGCTCGATCTTCTGCACGCCCACGTAACCATCTCTCCAAAACTCCCCACAAGATTTCATCGCTAGTGTGATCTCGGTTTATCGAATAGCGTGAAAATGCATCGTGCTCATCTGCCCACTTGATATGTTTGACAAGAAATACTAGCATGGTGTTGTCCCATTGCGAGTCCCTCGAAGTGATCCACTCAAATGTAGCCCGTGGTACCCCGGATTGGCCCAGATCAAGAAGAAAGACATGTCTGTGAGTAACCCAGGAGACCTTCCGTCGATCTTGTAGTTTCTGAGTGCTATCGTGGATGCGAATGGGATCGGATCCAATGGAAAACACGGCTGTGTGGCCCAAGATAGCTGCTTCTGAAAGCGTAGGAAGGGCAGCCAGCTCTGAATCGGTTGGTGGAGGTGGAGGTAGAGATAAATCTGGCATATCAAGTAAGTAGCGAGTGAATTCCGAAATAGCCTGGCAATATGCCGTGTGGTGAGGTGGTAACCATCTGGCCACGGCTCGATTTTGAGCTCTGACAGATTTGGCAATTTGACCGTTCTTTAACAATTTTGAGTTCTCCGGGAGTTGAGGTTGGGATCCTGAAATGAAGATACCAGAGTGTAAGTTACATACATCTCTCGTAAAGCTTAGGTGTTCATGCTTCACCTGAATAAGATGTCATCACTTCTCAACCGTAGGATCAGCTTATATCCAACCTTGTGCAACGAGGGTGAACGAGTTGGTGTCTGAATTTGGGATTGATGTGGGGTGACAGATAGCGGAATATTTTGAGTATACAAGCCTTGTTATCAAATGAAAAATACTGGACGCTCATAAAGGAATGATCTTGTTATATGTAGCTTTTTCTTTGTTGTCCTCCAACCCTTTGTGTTTGCTGATTTCGAAGTAACACCCTTGGCTCCCCAAACTCCCTCATACATAACCTATTATCTTGAATTCACGATCTCTCACTCCTCAACCTATCTAGCGAATTCTCAACTTCAATTCAAACACTGAATTTCATCGATTCATAAATAATCAACTCTGAACTTTCTAGATCTATAAATTTAACTCAATCACACAGTATGTCTCCTTCTTGCTACGCCAGCTCTGATTCAAGTATCCAATATCAAGATGCATTGAGTAGTGAGTTTGTCTCTCTTATTGCTAGCGTCCAATTTGTCACTCATTGACTTGGAACTGCTTCCCCAGGTGCTCACAGCCATGAAAATAGTTTGTCTTCCGCTGGATAGGAACAAAAAGGCACGTTTTCCGTTGAATCACATTCCTTGTAACATAAGACACTAATGCTATTCTCCCCATCAGACGTGGGCCGGACCCACAATGACGACCATTACAGTAGAGATAGTCGACTCGAAAAAAGCTTTGGTGATCTTGGACATGCACCTGGTGTATCGAATGATTTGCACCACCAAGATGAAGATGGTGTGGCAGAAACGGGATGTCATACATCAAGAGACGCTTTCAACAAAATTGATCGAACTGAAGATTGTCATAGCAGTTAAGTCATGGGGCTTTTTCTCAAGTCTACCTTTTTGTTTTTGGAAAGGAATTACACTAATATGTGAGAAACTGCAGCCAGTGACACGGAAACTGTCCTAGCACACTCGGAACGTAGCAACAGCCCTGATGGTAGCCACTGTTTGGTAGCTCGAGCCATAGAAGGTTCGTCTTTTCTTACATTTTGACTGCATTTGAGCTTGTGCAGTTGCTTTTATTCAACACAAATTTGACTGTTTGTATTGTCATTATATCTACCGATATATTATCAGTTCCATCTATATTCGACGAAACAGAATACAAAGGCAAAAGTCAAAGCAATGCGCCCGAGAGTAATGAAAATAAGAGTGATAGCGGGATGATGTCTGCTACAATGAACGGGTTCAAGCGCAAAATAGCAGCAGGTGAGCCTACAGCTGAGAACTAGTGCATCCCAGCTTCTTCTAATCCTTCCATAATTTACAGCTCGACTTTTGTTTGATGAAGTGGGAAGGAAATCACAGACAGGCCTGGCAAAATCAGGAAGCCAGACCTTGTATGATAATGCCAAGTCTCATGGTGAGTTTAACGAGGAGCTAGCGTTCTGATTTGCCATGTATCAGGTCTGGAAATTAACAAGTGTCTTCAGGCGAGTCTCAACATGGACCACCTACAAAACATAGCTCGAACCTTGGAACCAGAGATGATCAAGCTATACCGCGTAAGATTTCACCCTTTTTTTATGAGCAGCTTGCACATCTTGAGGCGACTTGAAACTTTTTGGGTAAAGCTGATCAACTTTCATTTTCCGAGAAGCAGAAAGATCTTTCTTTGACTATAGTGGACACACTAGCGACTGGCGTAAGAAACAAAGAAACAATTTGGAAGCAGACCTCAGTCCTGCGCAGATTGCATCAGGAAAACACGCACACGAAGATGAAATGTGGGATCTAAACACCTCGAAGAAGCGGCGTGGAAGTGTCATACCACCTCTTGGCAAAATGTCACCTATAAGTACGCATTGTTCTCTTACTTGTTTTTGAAAGATAAATTGGTTATATTGACTGTATATTTTGCATTCAGGAGAGTGTACAAGTGACGATGAAGATGGGCCAGACGTGATCGGCTCGTGGCCCAAAGTTTCATTTGGTAGGCCTCAATTTATCAATCTGAGATTTCTTAGACTATGCCTACGTTGAAAGCTGAATGTTTTTTCTGACAACACTAAGACTCTCGTACATCAAGGCGGGAAACGCCTCAAAAGGATGATCCCGTGAATTACAATTCTCAACGTGAGTATCTCATTAAGATAGCCTTTTGAATTGGAACAGATCAGTTTTCTCAACAAATATTTCTAGGCGGGTCTCAAGATGTACCACATAAAGCACCTCAATGCTCTCAACAAGTCCCACCTACAGTACCTCATCAGCAACTACCTACAGTACCTAGCTCAAGCCTTCGCACCAAAGAGGATCAAGCTATACCAGGTACAGTGTCACCCTTTTCTTTATGCACAGCTTTCACACCATGAGGACACTTGAAACTGCCTGAGTCAAGCCAACCAATCTTTCAATTTTAAATACACAGGAAGATCATTATTTGACTATGGTGGACATGCTAGCGACTGGCGTAAGAAAAGAAGAAACCATTTAACAGCAGACCTCAGTCCTGCGCAGATTGCTTCAGGGAAACACGCCCGCGAGGAGGAAACATTTGATCCAAACGCCTCTAAGAAGCCACGTGGGAGTAAGATACACCCTTGTTATATCAGATCATCAATTACACATTCTTTGTGTACTCACTTTGGAATGGACATTGCTTACATGGACTATAAATGGTATTTTTAGGAGATTTTCTGAGTGATGATGAAGACGATTCAAACATCATTCACCCACGGCCCAATCTCTCATCTGGTACGCCTCAATCGAAAAATTTACCACTACTTTGACCTTCAATATGTTACATACTAACTATCTTGTCTTCTGATAACAATTAGACTCCGGCGCACCAAGGCAGGAAATAACTCAAGAGAATGATCCTGCCAATTGTAGTCCTCATTGTGAGTATCTGATTGAGATAGTCTTCTGACCTGTAATAGAACTTTTTTCTCAACAATGCTTTTCAGGCGATTTTCAACGTCAATCACCTACAGCACCTCAGTATGAATCATCTCACGTACCTCGATGTGGACCACCTACAGCACATACCTCAAATCTTGGTGCCAGAGATGATCAACCTATACCGGGTAAGATTTCACCCTTTTTCTTATGAACAGCTTGCTTTGTGTACTTGTTTTTGGAATATACATTGCTCACATTGCCTATAAATTTTGTTTCCAGGAGATTCTACGAGTGATGATGAAGATGAGGCAAATACCATTCAACCACGGCCCATTATCTCATCCAGTAGTAGTACGCCTTGATTTGACAATTTAATACTAATTCGACCTCTAATTTGTTACATACTGACTATCCTTTCTTCTGATAACAATAAGACTCTGGTGCACCAACGCAGGAAAGACCTCCAGAGAATAATCCCACGAAGCATCATACTCATTGTGAGTATATGATTGAGATAGTCTTCTGATACGTAATGGATCAGTTCTCTCAATGATTCTTTTTAGGAAATTTTCAACATCGATCACCTACAGTCCCTCAACAGCAACCACCTACAGTACTAAGCTCAAGCCTTCGCACAAAAGAGGATGAAGCTATACCAGGTACGTTTCACACTTTTCTTTATGAACAGCTTGCACATCCTGAGGCCACTTGAAACTGTCTCAGTCAAGCCAACCAAACTTTCAATTTTGAATGAACAGGAAGATCTCTATTTGACTATAGTGGACACGCTAGCGACTGGCGTAAGAAAAGGCGAAACTTTTTGAAAGAAGATCTGAGTCCCGCTCAGATTGCATCAGGGAAACATGCCCGCGAGGAGGAAATATGTGATCCAAATGACTCTAAGAAGCCACGTGGAAGTAAGATACAACCTCATTATATCAGACCATCAATTACACATTTGTTGTTGACTGATCATGCATTATATTTCAGGAGGATTTGCCAAAGTCAATGAAGAGGAGCAAGGGGTGATTGGTTCACAAACCCATCATGGTACATCGCACTTTGTCAATTCAGGATTTCTTCAAATTTCTCCGTGGTGACTGATATCTATCTGGTGACATCAAGACTCTCATGAAGCAAGGCACGAGAGAACTAGAGGGAATAATGAAGACGAATTTGGAAGAAGTGACACGAGCCGCACACAGCCTAATATCTCAGCCAGTACGCCATGATCCAATATTTCTTTGCTGTTCTCTGTTCTGAAGGCTAAAGGTGTTTCTCTATGATTTATAGCGGACTCTCAATTGGAAAGGATGGGGGCTTCTCGAGAATCCTTCCCAAAAACATCCGTCGAAAATTCAAGCAAGACTCAACCAAGTTTTGTCCAATATAGATCAATAAAGGCACAGGGCAAACAGCGCGAAATCACACCAGATTCTCTTCGTAAGGAAATTCATCTGCTGGATCTTGCTGCATCAGGATTCTTTACTGATTCATCACATACGTCAAATTTAGGTGACACTGTAAGTGCTGATGAAGGTGTGTCTGCAAGTAGCCGCATTCGCCGCTCACCACCCGAATCACAGCCCAATCTGACCAGTACGTCTCAATTTTTCAATTCAATATCGCTTAGAATTGCTCTATGCTGAATGAAGTTTCTATTTGATGACACAAAGACTCACATGAAGAAAGGCAGGAAAGAAGTCAACGAGATAGTGAACATGTACCAGAAAGAAGTAACATGAGCCGCACACAGCCTAATATCTCAGCCAGTACGCCGTGATCCAATATTTCTTTGCTGTTCTCTGTTCTGAAGGCTAAAGGTGTTTCTCTATGATTTATAGCGGACTCTCAATTGGAAAGGATGGGGGCTTCTCGAGAATCCTTCCCAAAAACATCCGTCGAAAATTCAAGCAAGACTCAACCAAGTTTTGTCCAATATAGATCAATAAAGGCACAGGGCAAACAGCGCAAAATCACACCAGATTCTCTATGTCAGGAAAACCATTTGCTTGTTCTTTCCGCTTCAGAACCCCTTGCTTATTTATTTTGCACACTACCTTTAGATGAACCTGCAAGTTCTGGTGAAAATGTTCCCAGTAGTCACACCCACCGCTCACAATCTAATATCCCCTATGGTACGTCTTGATACCATATATCTCAGCTCATTCAAAGACTGATTAGTGTTTCTTAACTAACATAATAAGGCTCTCGTCCAGGAAGGAATACTGAGACTACGCCTCCACCAAACAATTGTCACAACTATATATATGATGATGATGTATCATCAAGAAATTATTCACAACAAATAGTTTTGGTGGAGTCTCAACACAAACCACCACCACTTACAATACCCACCTCTAGATTTCGCACCAAAGAGGATCAAGTTATGACAGGTAAGCTCTCAGTGTTTTTACAAACAGCTTACACATCTTTAGTTCAACTGAAAAAACATCCGATTTTTAATATACAGGAAGTTCTTTATTTGACCATGCTGGACACTCTCGTGACTGGCGTAGGACTCGACGAAGAGGAAGAGATCTGAGTCCTGCGCAAATTGCATCAGGCAAACACGCACGCGAGGACGATCCATGTGATCTAAATACCTCCAAGAAGCCACGTGGGAACACGATCCCAGCTATCAGTAACTTGGTTTCATATAGATTACCTGTATGTTGATCCAGTTTGCAGGCTGACGGATGTGTCTCTTTGATCTTTAGTAAACTCTTGCACGGATTCAAGAAAGCAAGCTCAGGAAGAACTTCGCACTCCAACTCGGCCATCTTATGATCGCAATCGTACTGCTGTAAATAATTTCAATCATCGGGAAGCACAGCTTCAATCTTTTGCTTTGCGGGGGCCGTCTACACATTCCCATAGGCCAAATCAGACGAGCCACATCTCAACTCCTTCTTGTCAGTCTGGAGCACTTGTTGACTCACATGTACACTCAAACCGACTCCATACCACATTGGGAAGTTTCATTCAACATGAATCTCAGATTTCCACCCCCAAAAAAACAGTCACGTGGGATGATGAACGTCCTCTGAACTTCAACCACTCAGCTCAACAAGACTCGGACTACAGGGTCCCAGTATCACCATCAATAGCAGATTCAAGAATGTCTATTTGCACCCCTCCCCGCACAACTTCCCTCAGCCATACACGTCAACCTAACAGCTCTCAAAGCCAGTCTTTGGCTTCACTCCATATGCAGCCGGCCACACCGTCACATCAGAGAACACAATTCTTTTCTAGAGATGTTCATAGAAAGAAAACCCACGATCAACGTCAGACTCGCTTTTCAACCTTGCAATACGCCGAAAAGCACCACAAGAACCCCCATATTCCACCCCCTCCCGTTGACAAGTATCAGCAAGATACGGACACACCCCTGCCCAGTGATCAACAAATGGCGCCTTCAACCTCTCACTTGATGGAAACTAGGCAGAGATCTTTTTCCCCGATGTCTTGGTCTAATGAGGCTCCAGGAAATTTGGATCATTCTCTATACGAGTTGCACCAGTCTACAGATTGTCCTAGGAGTAGTTACATGCAGGAACACCGCCCCAGAAATGTGGAAAGCAATGCTCTGCCCTCCTACTCCCACCCTTCAGATCAAACAGACCCAACAAACAATTTCGTTCCTACTCGACGACCCTCAACCATGCCAGTTGGGCCTTCCATCTTGCACCCAAACCATGGAAATCCAACAGCCGTACATGAACCGCTCATTCCTTCTCGGCGACCCTCAAACACGGAAATTAGGCCTTCAATCTCGCACCCATACCCTGAAGGTCCAACAGACCTACATGAACCTTTTGGTTCTACTCGTCGACCCTCAAACACGAAACTCAGGCGATCAATCTCGCGCCCATACCCTGAAGATCCAAGAAACCCACAAGAGGATTCTACCCGTACACACCGGCTAGGAAGTACACGAACCAGACCTTCAGCCTTGCGCAATACCCCGGCAGATGAAACAAACTCGGATAGTAGATACATGCATATACCTGGAGCTCCAGACACGCATTGCCAACCTCTGTCCTCACAATCTTATCCTACAAATCCACCCAACACACAAAGCCGGCCTTCAACCTCTCGCACAACAGGAAGACACATAGAACGCTCCCAATCTCCTATAGCCCACTCAGATGGCTCAAACTCCAATAGTAGATCAATGCATATACGTGGAACTTCAAATGCACACCATCAACCTTCATCATCACGATCTTATTCTACACATCCACCGAACACACAAAAACGTGCTTCAACCTCTCGCGCTGCAGGAAGACACAGAGAACGCTCCCAATCTCCTATAGCCCACTCAGATGGCTCGAACTCCAATAGTAGATCAATGCATATACGTGGAACTTCAAATGCACACCATCAACCTTATTCTACACATCCACCAAACACACAAAGCCGTCCTTCAACCTCTCGCGCTGCAGGAAGACACAGAGAACGCTCCCAATCTCCTATAGCCCACTCAGATGGCTCGAACTCCAATAGTAGATCAATGCATATACGTGGAACTTCAAATGCACACCATCAACCTTCATCATCACAACCACCAAACACACAAAGCCGTCCTTCAACCTCTCGCGCTACAGGAAGACATAGAGAGCGCTCCCTATCTCCTATGGCCAATTCAGACGACTCGCCCCAAGATATCAATACGAGAAATGCCAACACTTGTGATACCAATGATTCTGATCCCGAAAATCCACATTCTGATGACCCCGATTCCGATCCTGATTCTGATCCCGAGTCAGATGAATCAATCTCATTGGCTGAGAATGTCAAGTACAAGAACAAACGACGTTGCCGCAATGCGAAAAAAACGAAAGACCGCCATGGTGAACTTGGCAGAGAAAAAGCCTCAAAACCGGCCATCCTATCTCAACATGAGAAATTATCGGTAGCAATTATTGACTATGTCAAACTACTCCTAGGCATAACTCGTAAGCCTCGCCGTGCAAAAATAACCTTTGTCTCTTCTCTCCCTGCGCCTCCTTCGGAGGAAGAGATCGAAACATGGGTACAACGTAAGCATCACGCAAGGCAAATCACAGATCAGGCCGCATCGAAAGCACTGTCAAGATATACAAAGAAGTATCCTGATGCAACTCCACGGACTTTAGAGTTAGTCGAAAAGGATGCAATCGAAGAGGCCCAATCAAAGCTCAAACCGGTCCAATTCCGGTCCCTTGTCTCTAACAAAAAAACTGGAGGCCGTTATTCTTCTGATGTAGCTCATTCTTGTGAGGCGGCCTTGGCCCACGCTGGCTTCACTAGACTAACCTTTGATTGGAACAGTACTTTCAAATCAAGATGGAATGAGGCAGTTTCAAGGATTATACTTCAAGAATGGCAAAAGACTTATCTGTGTGGTGATGCTGATGACTATCTCATAAATGCTCATCAAGTCACGGCACAAAATAAAAATTTGATTCTCGAAAGATGGTTTGAAAACAAAAAACTGCAATATACATCAGATCAAGAGCCTGATGACGACATTGAGAAACTGAATAGAACAGCAGAATCGAAAAGGGAAAAGGCTTCACAGCGCAACTCAAGAAATAATGTGAGTATCCTCTTTCATCTATTCCAGATGGGACCAATTCTCTAAACTTCATTTGAGGTTCCTTCAGGTCTGTACCATTCGACGTGACACATTTTTCAATTATTTCGACAAGGAGGTGCCTGAATATTCTGACTTGGGCCACTTGATATCACTGCCCACGGTACACTCTGAGGACGAAATGGATGAGAACAACCGGCCGGTACGCAAGCGTCTGTTTTGGAGACACAACCTTCTGGGTACTCTTTTTTCCGAGCTGGACAAGCTGCACATTGATACCCGGGAAGATGAGCGCAGTCACACAAGGGCCATCAAGGCTCTCATCCGCGGGCCCCACGTTGAGATTTCTGCAGAGGCTAAGCGCACTTGTAAGCCGCCTGCAGGGTTTCCCAAATCACTTGTCAGTGAGGAGTTTCGACAATGCTTTTCAAAAGCTGCAAGGGCGGCGTTAAAACTTTCAAACAACGATTTCAATCTCCCATCAATGATCGAACACTGTCAAGATATGCAACAGAATTAGCTCAACTCATTTCACAATCCACCTGATCCAATACTTCCTATTTGTTGACTTTGCTTGACTTGAGATACCACTCTTTCTTCATTTTGAGATATCACTTGTCATTTTATTTTTGTTCTTGATATGTACATATTTATCTTGTTATTTTTCTTTGCTCAAGTTTCAGGCTTCCAAAATACTTCTTTGTGTCACAGATACGCATAAAATCTGCTGATCAGAATCAATTCAAATGCTAAGTACCAGCCCTATCAATCTGAGAAGCCTATCCTAGTAGTCTATATGACACTGAGAAGTCCGAATTAGAAACAAATCGAGAATCACTTCCTGAGAGGACCCCGCAGTGCCCCAATACAGGGCAATCACGGGACAGGATCCTTTCGAGCTGAGCTCCCTCGGGTATTTTACACGATGGGTGTAAATTTCGATCACATACAGCACATGTTTCTGCCTTTGGTTTCTGCCAGTTTCTGTTTTTCACAGAAACAGTAACTTCCAGTTTGTGAACTTCTTTGTACTTCAAGATATCCTGTCATCTTAATCCGACAATGGCAACCTCTTTATATGGGTTTGTTCAATTTCACTCTTGACTTTTTTTGCTCATTTCTATAGATAACATCTGTTCACATCTATTTCTCCTAAAAATATAGCTATCAGCTTCAAGAAAATGTATGACGGGTCGACTATTCAGTGTCGGTCAAAAGTATTTCTCAGATCCTCATATAGCATATGGTTGAACTTTGTTTATTACTTTTAGTGGCTTCCAATAATTGAACTTGTCAAAACCTCAATCCAGATTCAAATCTTTTCGATCCAGCTGCTTCAAGTCAAGTGAGTTTTTCTCATTCATTTTGTGTCACCTCGATTTACCATGAAGCATATGAATCTATTGATGAATTAAAATGTATGGCTTCTTCACTCCTTCGAATAGCAACTTTGGTATGTGCGAGACAAACTCTCCAGTAATGATGTCTGAATAGCTGATCCTTATGTTTGTTTATTGATTCGTTTGGGCTTACGATTTTCTTCATTGTTCCTTGTAAGTCTACCTCTCCGTATCTGGTTTCTTTTTTGGTTGGTTTGTAGTCTAATTTTCTTGATTTTTAGGAACAGGTCAAAAGTGCAAAGAAAAGATGAAGAGATCGAAAGGAGTGAAGAAGTGATCAAATTGCTGACAATCTTTTCGCTTCATCCTTGTATTTGTTTCATATATGTAGTTTAATCAGTCAAAATTCTTGGAATCCAGCCAAGGCGGTTTCATATCAGATTTATCATATGGTGAAGTCTGATCTATCAGGCAACTCTACAACTTAATGCATCAAGCTTATACTCATTGTTTACATACATGATGTGCATACAAAGGCGTTCATCGTCTCTATCTTGTTGCTGAGAAGCCACACTTCCACTGTTTTTTCATGAGTGGAATTTGCTGAGTCCCTGAAAGCAAGAAAGCTTACCACGGTGATGACGTGTAATGAAACAAGTGATCCAGCTATTGTTGTATGGAGTGAGGGATCAAGAGGCATATGTAGAAGAGGTCTTCCATTTATCAGAAGACAAGTTGTGTTTGGAGAAGAAGAGCGGAGAATGTATGGTTACACACACGTGTAACTGTTTACAGCTAGGGTGATCAGAATTCCTTTCAGCACCAGGCAATCTTGTCCAACTGATATCGGACTTAACTCAAGATCTTTCATTTGCAGATGTCGTCTTTGCCCAAGATCTACCGTTGTGAGTGCACAGAACTAGGATGTGCAAGTCAAAGCTTCGAGCTCGGCGGAGTTTCATATCGCGGAGTCAACCGAAGCAAGAAAAATGCGGCAGCACATGCACAAAAGCTAGAAGCAAATCGGAAATCAAATCAGCACTCGGTGAATAGCCCCCCACCGCAAGTCCAAAACGATCAAGATGGTGGTCAGTCATCCCGGGAAATGAGAAGAACGGTACCCAACGTGGTACGTGAAACATTTGTTGTATATAATTATCTGCTTCTGATGGACCTTTGTCTCTCTTGACGTGTGATATTTAGAGGCGACGAAGATCTTTGAGCACTGGAGACATGCCAGATCGTGTGCAGCAGAGGCCACTATGTACGCAACGAGAGCGGACTCCTTTGGAAGACGATGGACATTACAATGAACTTCCGAATGAGACATCTCCAATTGGGCCCAATCAGAGATCCCAAACATCATCACGATGGGTCAACACTTCCGCACATCGTATCCGGGAGGTATATCTTCGCCATCCGTCGTGTATGATCGCTATGCTCATTGCGGCTCACAGCAACCTCATCTCCAAGACTAGTCACGAGCAATGTCGGAGGATGCTTCATTTCTCCAAGTTTCAGATCGAACAAGCAGCTGTCGAAACAAAGTACACTGGAGTTTCATTCTGGGACACGATACCAACCAGTCTTGCTACAGTATTTGACCGCCTGAATTTGAACATCGAACTCAATTCTGAACTCTGCTGTCCTACCTGCTTTGGACTGAACGGTACACCCTATCCAACTAACAAAGCTGACTATAAGCTGAATTGTGATAACATGCGATTCCTAAAGGATCCAGCTAAGAAGAGACAGAAGAAGAAAGAAATTATTCGTCGTCGATGCAATTCTGCCCTCTACACGCCTTCCTTGAAAGCTCATCGCATTTTTTATCACCTTTCCTTGAAGGTATGGTTGGCCAAAATGATGATGCTACCTCAGTTTGAGTATGATCTAGATGCTTCATTACGCCATACCAGGAATGATCCTTCATCAATGTCAGATATATGGGACGGGACGATGTGGAATACATGCCGAATTTCTGGAAGCGTCTACACTCAAAGAAGTGGCCATTTGGTGTTTGGACTTTACTGTGACTGGTTTAACCCTCATGGCGGTGGATCTCGACGGCAAATCTCGACTGGAAACATCCTTCTTGTCTGCTTCAATCTGCCTCCCGCAATCCGATACAAACGAGAATATTTGTTTCTCTACGCTACGGTTCCCGGCCCACGTGAACCCAAAAAGGATCAAATCAATCACGTCTTGCGACCATTGGTGACGGAGCTTCAAGACTTTTGGAAAGGTGTCCACTTTACATCAACGCACAAATATCCTAATGGCCGCCTTATTCGAGTTGCTCTGTGGCCACTCATTGCTGACTTGGTCGCAATGAGGAAAATTTCTGGCTTTGCAGCACATTCTGCCACTCACTTTTGTGTTCATTGCGATCTCACAATCAATGACATTGACGAAATTGATATGAGCAAGTGGCCGAAAAGGTGCAATCATCAGATCCATGCTCAAGCATGGCAAGACGCTCCAAACCTGGAGGAACAAGATACGATCTTCGATAAGTACGGCGTACGATACAGCGTTTTTTCGGAGCTCCCTTACTGGCAACCCCATAACTTTGTTACTATAGACATCATGCACTGTTTACTCCTTGGAATTATGAAAGATCATGCGATCTCAGTATTAAATATTGAAGCCGCAGGGAAGTCATTAAAGGCACTAGAAGAATCGAACGCGGACAGAGGAGTTTATGAAGACTTCCATGTGAGTCACAGTATTCTTCTGTCCGTACCTGGATCATTCAATGATGGCTTATTCAAAAATTTAGTTTGATCCCCCATTAGGGCTAATCGGGGTCCGAGAGTCTTTAGATGCTCCTGAATGTGAAACAAATGAAAACAATCCAACTGAAAATACCCATAATGACTCATCTCGCAATCCCGATCTGTCAGAAGTCTATGATAGTTCAACTGAATCCAGCAACAACAACCTTACTGCTTTAGAGAGCACCGAAACCGATTCACACCTTGCTGATCTAGAATCCAACAGCAAGAATTCCGCCAAACAACCTAGCCTCCCCACGCGCAAGATCTTACCTCGCAGGGTCAAAGCTGTTCGAAATAACCCCCCCTCATCTCAGAATTCTACCTCTGGAATCTCTGATGTGCAAGAAGGATCATCTTCTCACTATCCAATCCGCACAGCTCATAGTAGGAAGCGAAAGAGGCCTGGAAACATCAGTGACA